TGGTCGCTGTTCACAAGCAAAACGCTACACTCGCTGCTGATGATGAAAAGCACAACGAAAACAGTGAAGACTTCTGCAGTACGATCATGAAAAACAGCGAAACGACAGAAGAAAATGAAAACAATGCCTACGCATTCCAAGTTCGTCTCGGCAGGCGCGACTGTGTGAGTTACAAACAAAGCAGGCAACATGAAACGGAAGCTGTTGGGCTCACTCACCAACACACTCACATAAGCAAGCAAAGCAGCAACTGCTTCAAAACGAGCACAGATGAGTGTCGTGATTGTCGGGAATGACCAGATCGGTGATGGATCACAACAGAAGACGACATTCATCAGTTGCTTTTTACTTCTTTCGTCAACTTGATGGATGGTCATGGAGAGAGCCTCGACGAGCACATTGATAGGAATGTACAAAGCGTTACTACCATCAGCTGTTTGACGATCGTGATTGTGATAGGTCGCAACTCTGCGTGCCGCCACTGGGATCCTTGGGTGAGTTTCTGGACCTCTGCTACTCGGTTGGACACGAATATCTTCCAGGACGACGGTGGAGAATTATTCCAGTGCAAAACGATAGATGAATCTGACCAGAAAGTGACCGTAGAGTCAAACTAAATTGTTCTATGAATGGTATCAGCCAACTGGCTTTCCAGTACGGCTGCACAGAGTTCCAACCGTGGGATGGAATAACCACATACTGGAGCAACACGTGATCTTGCTATGATCAAATGGCTTGTTCGTTTAGTGGAAGGTCCTGTTCATACCCTTTGGAAGAAGCGTCGACAAAACAGTGCAACTCGTAGCTCTTTGCACTCTCTTCGAACACCCACCGAGGAACTCGAAGATTCCGAACGGCACCAGTTGCTGCTCGGAAGGACAGCCACCGTGATTGCAGAACAACCGGCAGCTTTTCGTCCTAGCTAGGTTCCTCCTGCCACAATCGCTGCACAAACATCTTCGCGCTGGCCACCACTGGACCGACCAGACCCAAAGGGTCAAATAACTGCGACATCTCCGATAGTACGACGCGCTTCGTAACGTGTGGCAGGGCTGGAAAATCAGGGACGTTGAATCCAAATACGTCCTCCTTTGTAAACCATAGTAGGCCCAGTGCCTTGATTGATGCAGATCGGTCGAGTTCTAGCGGCAACTGATGCTCCTTTAGTTCCTCTGGAAAATGTTCCAGAATACTGTGTGCTGATTTCAACTAGAACTCCGATGCTCTCGGCTCCAGTTAAAACATCGTCTACATAAAAATCTTTCTTGACAATGGGGACAGCAAGCGAAGAAAGTCATGCCCTTCATCGTCCGCCAGCTGGTTTAGGACTCTGGTTGCTAGATACGGAGCACAAGATGTGCCGTAGGTGACAGTGTTCAAGGAATAGGTTTTCAGTGGCTCTGATTCGTTTCGGCGTCACGCAACTTGCTGTAGTAGGCGATCGTCCGGATGAACCAAAGCCTGTCGAAACATTTTCTCCTCGTCTGCTTTCATGACGAATCGGTGGAAACGAGAGTTGACAACGATGCACAACATGGAAGGCTGAACTGGTGGTCCTGTGAGAAGAAGGTCGTTCAAGGAGAGCTGGTTGCTGCTTATAGCCGCGCCGTCGAACACGACTCTTATTTTGGTTGTTGACGGGTCGGGACGATGGACTGCGTGATGGGGCAGGAAATACTCTTGTATAGTGTTTCATTGGAGCGGAACCGTCTTTCAAGGGCAGAAAATCGACGAGCTGCTACGTTCCACGTGTCTCCAATAGACGGTAGAAGTTCTTGCCTAACTGGTAGACGCACTACATGACGACCGTCGGCGTTGCGACTGTGTGTAGATGCGAAGTGGGCTTCACACTGTTGTTCATCGGTCGTCACCAACACTCATAGACGGCTTTCAGCTCATCGGTCAAACTTCGAAGGGTTTGATTGGAAGCGGTACCAGCTCTGTCACGCTCTTCAGGCTTCAAGAACTGCGTTCGTTGGCTTCTCTTCCAACGGAACTCTCACAGTAATTCCATACAGTACGCATGACATCTTCGGAGCGCTCACAGTTCACAAAAACTTTTCCAATGGATGGCCAAGTCTTATGGCCTTAGAAGTTCTGTATGTAGACTGTCGCTGTCAACTTTTTTCTTCTTGGTCTCGCCTTATATCTGGTTCCCCACTGGTTCGTGCTCTTCCAAACACTCCACTTCCATTTCGTTAAAATTTTCACCAAACTCGGAAGAATCCATTACACCCCTGTGGATTTCGCTGTAGATGATAAAAAACTATTAATCAATCTTAAATTTAAATATTGATATCTAACCTGGAGCTCAAAGGCTAACATGTAGCTGAGATCAAATTCAGCGGCACCTTTGACAGTTGTTTCTATGCATTTTGCTCATTTGCGTCTAGGATATCTATCATATGGTTGCCTATGAATTGATCTTCTTTATTGATGAGAATAATTAGTGTAAGTGTTTTAACATTCAAGGTAACATTATTATGACATATCACACGTGGTTGTATTATTAGTTTAGTATTGTTTGAAATAAAGTTACCTTAATTCCCAGCCACATAGTAGCACTACAAAGGTTTTGATGTATGTCCAATAGACTAATGCAAAATTTGACTTTTTTGCTCCACAGTGCTTAAATAGTTTTAAATCGGGTCCTGATTAGCCTCCCAAAGTTACAACTCATTTGGTTAGAAACAGACTTCGCACAAGCCATTTGAAGTTTACATGTAAATTACTATGGGAAATCTCAAGTTTTTGTTCATTGCCTTCTAGTCTTTTTCCATATTAAGCTGCGAAACAGTTCGATAGCTATTCTTATAGAAAATTTTCTCAGCTACAACTTTACTGAAGATTGTTTCTATGTAAAACGAGACAGGAAAAAGTTATTAATTATTTAAGAGATTGGTAAACTTATGACATGATCAAGCAGCTGCTCTGTAGGCAACACTGTATTTTGTAGTGTGACATAGTAGCCATGATTTTTGTGTCCTATTCAACGCCCCAGAAACACCAATGTTGCCTGCTGAGCAGTAGATTGAGCATGATCATAAGACATCAGCGCATTGAACCATTGATAACTTTCGATCCTTGCATTTAATCAAAAAGTGGTCTTGAGCAAAGTTGTAGCTGGGAAAATTTCCTACAAGTACAGTTGAAAGGTTTTGAAGCAGACCGATATGGTGAATTATTGGATAGACATGAACAAAAATCTTGGTTTTACCATAGTAATTCCCATACAAACTTCAAATGGTTTGTGCCATCTCAGTTTCTCACCAAATGGCTTCAAATTTTGAGAGGTTAGTCAGGATCCGATTTGGAATCGTTTAAGTATTGAGGAGCGAAAATTACAAATTTTGCATCACTCTAATGTCCAACTATATATATCATACCCTAGCGCACAACACAGAGAAGGAAAGGCAACATATGTGAAATGGAAAAAAATCTCGAGAAGCACAATATAAACTCATATTCAAGATTCAAGACACAGAAAAAAAAAATCAAATTACGATATTTAAAAAAGTGGGCAAATTCTCATGCCATGATTTTAATGCCTCAGTTAATCAAAACTCTGGGACTTGGATATATGGAATACTGTATTCCCAAAATCTTGACTTAAATACAATTTCCAAACTTAAGGGCATTGAAATGCTTCAAGACATTCCACTCTGTATTTGCTCAGATTTCAAGAAAATGTTCAAGATTCATTGCAGCTACATTTTCATGATTTTTTTAGGTTTGTATATTTTAGGAACAACTTGATCTGAGGAATCTAGTCCTTACTCATTAAGATTTAATCTGCACGAAGCTATTTTTTAAACAGTCATGATAGCTTTAGTTGAGTTCATTAAATCTTAAAGAAAGAGAAATCGATAACTTTTACCAACATCAACATCCAGTTCCACTCTTCTTCGTTGAAAAGTGAAACCTTCGCAGCAGAATGAGAACATTTTTATGTCCCTCAAAAGAAGGTCTTCTCTTCCATCCACATTCGTCTCCGATTGCCTTGTCCTTTCGTTCGCATTTCTCAAACTTGGATCATTTTTCCCTCGACACAGGAATGAACCTATTCAACGCCGCAGGGATTGGAAACGCAGCCAGAACCCGGTGTGAGGAAGAACCACTTGAAAAAGCACCTCAGGATTTCCCAGGAAGAAGCAGCATCCAGTTGCAACCTTTTCGTGTTTCCCCTCGCCCACGAAATCTGCACAGGTTCAATAAAAATTCAACTCACACCTGGACTTTCGGATCGGGTTCTCCCTCACTGGGACAAATAAAATCGAAGTCAAGGTTGGAATTTTTGTTTTCAAATTTATCTTAGAATTTATTCTGTAAAATTCTCCCTAAACGTAACCTTGCTTAAATTGGTACTCCACGCGGGGGGTGCAAAAACTTAACATCTAACCGATTAAAAACTAGCAGTCACTGGTTTGCTGTTGTCGCCTTAGGTCTCCTAGGTAAATGAGATTTGAGAATGCTAAAAATAAACAACTTTTCAACAAAAAGTTCTTCGACTCGCCCGTGCAATCAATCATTTCTAATGCCGTCGGGGTGGTTCCTTCTTAATCGCTCTTATTGCTAAGCCCTATCGGGGTAGGGAGGAGAAAACGTTTGACTAGATTTCCGGTTATTTCGTTAGTAAGTTCGTTACTGTTACTGGCAGTTGTGTAGTTTTTTTTTTGTTCGGTAGGTTTAACAATTAGTACAGTCTGTTTGTTCTCATTTTTGATGCTGCTGTCCGGCTGGTTCCCTTCGGGGGTTGACAAGTGTGCGGGTGAGAATCCCTAACAGAGTGAGCAACGTTTCAGGTTGACTCAAGATTCGGGATTCAGGATCGCACGTAGAATCAGCTCAGCCGGTGCTCTCGAAGTACGTTTCCCAACGAAGACGTGTTCTATTTGGTTTGTCTGTAATTATAACAAATTGAAAAGAAGAAAAAAGTTAGGTTGTGATCTTAATCGAGAGCGTTTATAAGGCTAATGAACTGTGCAGGAAATTATACTAACCTCAACATAATTTCTTAAGTAGGAGATCACTGCTGCTGCTGCCACCAGGTAATTGCATCGAGCAGTTCTTCATCCTCGGGGTTCTGTGGACTCAGCCCGTCTTCGAACCCTTGCCGGTAGATTTCAGCTTTATACACTTGATGGTACGGTACTGCCTGGATGTAGTTGTTGTTGCCACTGGGACTGAGGCTGGTCATGCCCGGAATCAGCGTTTGATGTTGATGCTGCGGCTGCTCCGAAGTGTACGACGGAGCAGGCGAGGTCGAAGGATCGACGTAGATATCATAAGGTTCGTGCTTGAACGTAGTTCCTCCGATCTGCGTGTACGAATTCTCCGAAACTTGCGAAGGAGCCGGCGACGAAGCCGGTGAAGACTCGGACATGGTTCCATAGTACGAACTCGCCGAAGACATCTGACTTAAACTTTTCTGACTGTTTTCACCGCTGTCGTCCAACATTTTCTGCATGCTACGGATGTACTCCACCGCCATGCGAAGGGTGTCAACTTTGCTGAGCTTCTTGCTGGCCCCACGACCTCCATTGCCCAACGCCGTTACCACCGTAGGCGGAATATGTTGACGCAGGTTCGCGAATCCATTGTTGACCTGCTTCACCCGGTTCCGCTCCCGAGCATTCCTGCGCTGAACGGAAGCCGCCTGCTGAGGAGTCGGAGCATACGGCAGGGCACAGTAGGTGTACTTCTTCACCGAACTAGCTCCTGTTTTGCACTTTAATCCAACTCCCTGCGGAAGGCTCGTCACCATCATAGGAGCAGGAGCAATTGGTCGCTTCCCGTGGTGGCTGATCGACTTGTGCTGCACCAAAATGCAGTTGTTTGGCAGAATGTTATGAATGTTTTGTCCCAATGCCATGCTTCTCACTACTGCTGCCATCTGATAACTCACAAAAAACAAAACACTTTTTTTTCCACTGAATTCAGTCCTCTGAGCACTTTATCCCTCTTTTGCAACCAACCAAACACTTGCACCCGCGCAACTTGCTTCTTCTGTTGATTTCCTTGATGTTTCCGTGACGAAAGTTGCTCCCGAAATGGTACCTTCTCGTCCTAAGCCCTTGCATTTTGTACGTACGCACTGCCGAAGGTACCTGCTTCGTCGGGACTTCCACCAACACACAACCAGCTTGTAGTCGCGCTCGCTCACTCCCTCTCTCTCTCTCTCTCTCTCTTGCACCCACGTGCACACAGGTTCGATGAGTCCTTTGCGGCGTAGCACATGTGCAGCAGGATCACCCGACGTCGTCGTCGTCGTCGTCGTCGTCGTCGTCCACCCTCACTTCATCCCATTGAACATCAAGACGTTCGCTCTTCCTATGCTCTCTCACCATTTATGCTTATGCTCAATCTCTCTCCCGATTCCAAAACACCGGCTTCGGCTAAGCGTGTTCCACCGAACTTCCCAAACACCGAGACCCGAATGGGACGCGTGCCGCAGTAGTCGCTCGCATGGCTCAGCTGCCCTCCGACTTTGCGCTCTCTCGTTCCCATTCCATGCACACCTAGCCTCACCTTACCAGCTTGTTGGTACCAGAAGTTGTGTGTCGTCGCGGCGCAGCGCAGTTGTCCTGTCTGATCGGGTGAGTGAGATGGCATGATCCAGACGGCGGAGGGGCGGAGAGTGGGTGGTGGTTGTGGTGGGTGCAGATGCTCGGTCTGAGTCGCGCGCGCCGCACGGTGGAGTCGTGCGACGAAAAAGCTGACTGATGCTACTTTGAATTGCTGGATGTCTTCTTGTTGTTGTTGTTGCTGCTGGCGTGCTGCCACCGGCCGTCGATCGAGAGGAAAGGAGGCAGATGAGACGATCGAAATTTGATAGCATGTTGCTTCTTATTCGACGCGATTCCTTGGGATGATGCTTATGTTGCTCTCGTTGATGGTGTGCTGATGACGATGACTGTTGGGATGATCAATGACGATGACGGTGATGGCGATGATGATGATGATGATGATGATGGTGAAGAAAGAGTGCGTAGAGAGGAAGAAGAGAAAAGCAATCCTGGCCGTTGTTTTGGGTTTATACTGAGGAGAAGATCATTCTGTCGGAGAGAGATCAGTTGCACGTGCATCTTCGGTGAGGATGCTGTGTTGTGGGCTCTGGAGCGTAGCAAGTTGCATTCAACTTGATGCGTGATTTTCTCCATCGAATTTGATTCCAGGTTCAACGAAATTGATCTTATGCTATGTGGCATCATGGGTTAGTTTTAATCATTAGTAGCACTCTAAATATCGGGGTTTCGACCCAATTTCAGTCATTGAATTGATGGATAGAGTAAGGTGGGTCAAAGGTACTTTTTGAGCTTTGCACGAGACTGAAACTCAATTTATTGACACTTTTTTGAGAGGTCTTTTCGAGCCAGACTTTTCCACAAAGAATCACAAATAATAGTGATGTTTTCGAAGAGTTACAGGTAACAGTCTGTTTCGCGATGATAAATTATAACATTTGTACTAGATTTGAGGCATAGAACAAGAAAAACTTTATTATAAAAAGATGATTTTATTTCGTTTTTCGATAATTTTGGCATTTTGAAGTAGTGCTGCCACAATACATTCAGAGCTGGTTACTCACTGATTTTTGATACGTTCACAATTTAGTACCTTTGCATTAAAACTATGATGCGGTAAACTTCTCTGCTATCAGCTTTCCATACAACTTAAAAATACTAAAAAGAATTAAAGGGTTGTGTCCTAGACACGACCCCACTATGACGTAGAAACACCCAAAATTGATGTTTGTCATGCATTTTTGACTTTTGGTTATGCTTATTATTATGAATGGGGCGAGGCAGAACGTATCTTTTGTGCAGAATATGGAAAAAAGGATGGAATTTTGATTGTAATCTAATTGCATATATAGAGGTTCACGAACATAATAATTCACGAACATAATATCATCGGATGTACATATGTCTCCTCTTAAGCAATTGTTTTGAAAATTTTGGTTTTCGTTTTTACTTATAATTTGCTTAGTTTGCTTAAAATTTATTCCCCGGAAAAAAAGTGATCATCAAATCCATGTCTTTTTTGAGTTGACGTTTTGACGGGGGGAGGGGGAGAGGGATATTTTGCATATCCAAATCGCATTCCTCATTATGTGACAGGTAATCACGCCGTGATCCACCTTTAGCCGCTGTCTTGGTGCTGCTTGCTGCAGGACCTAGTGCCACACCGTCCGAAGCGGTAATGAGCAGAGGCAGGAAAGCAGCGCTGTTTTACATCTTTTCAGGTTCAAGCAGAATGATGTGCAACCAAGTGGTATTCGTTTATCCTTCGTGCATTTTTCAGAAGTGTTTTGATTAAAAATTGGAAATGTATTTATTTCAGCAAATTCGTGAAGTATCATCCTATCGAATGGCGTGTTTGGATTTCAATTTCATCTATAAATGACAAAATTATAAGCGTTCAAAACCTAACACTATTTCACCACACATATTTTTTGATTTGTACCCCAGTATAGTCGACAAAGACGTAGTTCTACGTCATCTTCAGCGGCGGTCTAAATCCTAGTTTTGGTCTATTTTTTGAACAAACATGACAATACTGCTGCACTGGTGTGGTAAACAGTGCTGTTAATTTTCTTATCAGTCGATTGAAGATGAACCAATACAACCATTCAATCAATTCTGTGAAAACGAATTCTCACATGACCATAATTTGAAGATCCCATTTCTCATTCAAAGCTCATCGTCTCTGTCAATTGAGTCACTCACTATCATTTGATATACGACAGTGAATTACGGAAGAACCCAGCAAAATAGTCCCAAACAGACAGGTCGACCCGATGTCGGATCAATGTCAAATTTAAGGTTCTTAAGCTCGTTAGTTGACAAAAGGCCCGTTGAAACTCTGTTTTTCGGTTCTTTCTGCAGTAACCGCATTAGCCGCAGCCAGTTCGGCGAAAAACCATTCGTTCAACTCCGCATACCCCGTAACTGCACAAGCCATCGTTGTTCGTCGTCTTTCCTGCTCTACTTCCTCCATAGAAAGTTCACTCGGTGGATGAGGCCATTCCTCCGGATTCCCTTTCAACCAACCTGGTCCCTTCCACCAGAAGATATTTTCGACGATGTTCTTCGGTGAAATTCCTCTGGAGATCGAATCTGCCGAATTCTCCTTCCCAGGAACGTGTTGCCATTGTGATGGTTCGGTGATAGTCAGGATTTTTGCTACTCTATTACCGACGTAAGTACTCCAGACGTTTGGAGATGCTTGAATCCATCGCAGAACACAGGTCGAATCGCCCCTGAAGAACGTCCGAACGGGATTCCTGATTGCGTCACGAACCTTTTCATACAACTGTGCCGACAGAAGCGCACCACACAGCTCCAACCTTGGTATGGACTGCATCTTCAATGGTGCCACCTTGGATTTTAAGGATAACAGCTGAACCTTAATCCTCCCTTCTGTATCTTGACTCCGTACGTAAACACAGGCACCAAATGCCTTGTTCGAAGCATCAGAAAAGCAATGAATCTCGATCAATTCTGCATCTGGAACCATGATGACCAAGGTGGAATATTGAACTGGAACTTCAGTTGGTCGGTGTTCGGTATCCAGGTCAAACCTAGCGTTTTGACTATTAGTTCTGGATCCAGTTTTATCCCATCTGAGCTTGGAATAGCCAGATTTTCTTCTGGGACTGCCTCCAAAACCTCCGGACGGTTGGATGCCCATTTCCGTAGCCGAAATCCTCCCCTTGACATCATTTCATCGAGCTGCTTCCGAAGCTCCCGTGCCTTTTCTATGATATCTGCTCCCGTGATGACGTCCAAATGCCCGGTGGTTGCCCTTGCAGCCAACGGGCATTTGGTTTCCTCGTCCACTGCCAGCTGATTCAATGTACGGGTTGCGAGAAATGGCGCTGATTTTGTCCCATATGTGACGGTGTTGAGCTCGAACACGCAGACGGGCTCCGACAGATCGAAACGCCATAAAATGCATTGGAGAGGCCTATCCACATACAGAACGAAGATTTGACGAAACATCTTCTCCACGTCGGCCACGAGGATGATTTGTTTCACGTGACTCCGAAGCATGATCGACCTTAGATCCTCCTGTACTATGGCTCCCACCAATACTACGTCATTGAGTGACACGCCGGACGACGTTTTGCACGATTCGTCAAAGACTACACGAACCTTCGTCGTAGTACTAGACTCCTTGATGACGGGATGATGCGGTAAATAGCAACGCTTTTCGGAACCAGATGTACCCTCAACCTTTCTCATGTGGTCCAATTAGATGTATTCCACCATGCATTGGTGGTATTGTTTGCGTAGACTAGCATCCCTAGCTAATGCGATGTCCCATAACTCGCCCAACCTGGAAACTGCGTCTTCGTCCTTCGGCAAGGAAACAGAGTACCGACCTTGGGAATCCCTGTACACTGACCCTTGGAAAATCTCCTCACACGTTTTCTCCTCAGGCGAAAGTACCTTGGAACTATCGACCTCTTCACTTGCCCAGAACCGTTCAACTGGCGCTTCCAAACGTTTAGTAGCTACCGTGCTACAATTGATACGTAGGCCTTGAGTTGGGTTTGATAGACCACTACATACCACCCATCCAAAAACCGATTCGTTTAGTGACGGCATTTGATTCCCGAGCGAAATTCTTTGTCCAGTTTCGAAGAATTCAAAATAGGACTCGATGCCCAATACCATGTCCACAGCACTTGGGTCGAAGAAAGCGGGATCTGCCAGTTTGATCCCTTCAGGCATCGTCCATCCATCCGTAACTATCCTTGCCGTTGGTAGGTTCACGGTTACCTTTGGGAGAACCAGGAAGCACATGTTCTGCGAGAATTGAGAAACTCGCGAGCGAACCATTGCTTGAACCTTGTGTTTCACCTTCGTAGCTGCATGACCAATTCCGAGCACCGAGATATCCACCCTTTCTCGAGGTGTTCTGAGACGTTGTTGGCTCAACCGATCAGCAATAAAATTGCTCTATGAACCGGAATCCAGTAATGCGCGAGCTAGGAACTGACTACCTTCATCATCTGCCACGATAACGACCGCTGTAGCCAGCAACACCTGG